TCATAACAAATTTCTTGCTGTGTGAAGCAAATACATTAAGTTGCTAATCAAACTTTTCTAAGGATAACGTTTCCACAGTCTCTCTATATAATGTAACATTTGTTTGGAAAATGGTGGATTGCTAGACAGCAATGCGTCAACGCATGATGCGTCTGTTGTAAATGACTTTTTGAAAAAAAAGAATAGGTTGTTGTGTCAGACCAGTGACTTGTTTTAGTTTATGATTTCAGGTAGATAATTTGTCCATTCTAAAACACTTGGATCGTCAATATTATTCCAGTGTCTCAAGGGACAAACATAAAGTTTATTATGAATTACGAAATTGAATTGTCATTTATTTTAAAATGTCATTGAAATGATTTTTTGTTTACTATACTAAAATGAATTAGGCTGAAATTGCACATTTGTTAAAATTGATTATTTTAATGATACGAAATAAAACTTTATTGAAATCTATCTGTGAAACAGTTGCCATGTGCATCAATGGATTCAAATTCAGCAATGCATGTAATGCTTTCACGTAGAATTACCGGATATAAATTATCCTCAATTCAGAAGGGTATTTCAATAAGAAATATAACTGTAATTTTTATCCTTCTGAAATCCGACATTATTTTCCAGAAAATAAAATAGATAAAGCAAATTTGTTTCTTTGGAAACTCAATAAACAAGCACTTCAAATGGAGTTAACGCTTAACTCTGAGAAAATGTGTCACAATTTTACCAGAGTTTTTTTTCGCCTTCATTAGACCGAAACCTGAACGAAAACTAATTTGCATCAAGGTAAATAATCCAGACAATTTGTATAATTCATGTAGGGTTTAAATACATGAGCAGTTAACATAACACAATGTTTTACTTTCTTTCATAAAAAGTATTAAGGCGTCAATCATAAACTACATATACTAGTCATGCAAAATGCGTTGTTTCAGCTTAAAATCATATTTACTTTTAAAGGAAAGTACAAAGCCTGTGAAAGATTGGTTGTTTTGTTGTTTGTTTGTTTGTTTGGTTGTTTTTACGCCGATTTTTACACACGTTTCGTCATATCTCAACAGTCGGTCCACCCAACCGACATTCACATAACTACAAATGTAGCCAGTAAATATTACCAATTACTCCACAAGTGACCAAGTACTAATCCAACATATCTTTTTAATCTGAGGTGAGATACAAATGACCATTTGCCTCAATGTCCAAGAATAATCAGCACGGAGAAATTTCGCCTTGGTCCAGGATCAAATATTTGATCCCCGGTTACACTCCTGATGTTCTTCCTATATTGCTATTGGGATGGAGTCGCTTTTAGAACGGTTACATCAAATAATCAAATAACGTAATACATTGTACATAGTAACAAGCTGATTAATATTTTAGCAAAATAACATATGAATTACAGCAGGAAGTAAGTTTCCAAGAAATAACTTCAATTCAGAAATAACTTTGTTTCTCAAAAAATTACAATAAAACTAGGATACTTACAAATGATGTCAAAAAAAAAACAAGCAGAAATAAATCAACCTGAATGATTGTCTACAAGACAATGTTTTGTTTGCGAATACATTCATACGTTGAATTCCTGTATAGAATTCAAAGAGGGATCGTGTAGAAGCGTTGATTTAAAGGATCAAATTGATAAAGAAAAGTCTAGAAAACCTAAATTTTATATCGAATTTAAAATATCTAAACACGAGCCTAGCAGTTCGTGCATTTGATTAAACCGTCTAGGAGTGACTGGTTCTCATGTCCTGTGATCAAGACAAAATTGGTCATTCTGGTCATGGTTTCATTATCATTTTTCCCTATTGTTCCTACTGTAGAGAGAAAAGCCCTGTTTAATAATCCAAAGATACCAATTGAACTTAACTTGATTTTTGACATTTTGTAGAAACCAAATTTTGTAAAAGTCCTGAAAACTTTAGACTACGACATGCTAGTGGTCGGTTACCGATGTGGTTTGTTGTAGTAGAATATTTATATATTCGTCCATAATTAAAACACTTTTCATGTTTATGCGTTATGTAAAACACATTTTAATTGACAGTTTTACTTTGACTTTGCAACTGACATACACATATGATTTTGTTTCTGTTTGTTCAAAAAGAAAAACAAAAACACATTCATTATCGTGCATTAAACGTGCACGCATAACAATATTTGTTTTTATTTCAAAATGGTTTCGGGCTTGAACTGCATTTACTATAGCAACCGCTTTTTAGACTTCCTTTTAGTACGCTGTATTAACCATCTAATTATAAGTAAATATTCGGGAAAAAAACAGGCAAAAGTATGGGGAAAAAAAGAAGACATATTTATAAAAAAGGACTTACAGATTTGAAATTAATTAAAATGCCCTAATAGCAATCATATTTTTAGAAATTATTTATCATTACGTGCAGATTTATAATTCACGCTCTAGTTTAAATCAAGATACCATTCAAACCCTCAAAATTCATAAAATAGTTTGGTTATCACCAAATTCCGAACCATCATAAAACAATAATTTCGACACAAATTTTTATCTCAGCTTCAGGTCAGTATCCAGAATGTAATTTGTTGTAATAGAATTTTTATATGTTCCTCCTAAATTAACGTACACTGTACTTTTCAAGTGTATGCATTATTGAATTTCTGAGAAACAATTTTCCCTAATCTACTTTATTTTCCCGGAAAATTATATAGGATTTCTATATAGACTACAAATTACAATGCACAATTACAAGGAGAAACACACAGAAATGATTGACTTGCTACAAAACTCGTGTTTAATATGGAGATAATATAACCTTTACTGAACCAGTAAAGAAGAAAGCAGACATTTCATTAGACTTATATGTAAAGATGATATAACCAGCAGTGAGTAAGCAAATATTTATCTTATAACGATAGCTATTTCTCGCATTGCACAAAGTGCGGCAGATTTGTATGATGTAAATTTGACTAGATCATTAAATCTGCACTTTATCAATAGTTGTCATTATATATATCACATTTTCACTCTGCATCATTTTCGTTTGTTTCTTTGAAAGTCAATACGTTTAAGAAGTATTTTCAAAAATGGAAAAGCGATAGAACTCTAAAACAATTAACACAAAATTACAAAAGTTACAACTAACAGACAGAGCTTTATTTTGTGTTTTTATAGGAGATGATGCAAGATGCCACATCTGAAATATCCCCTAGCACCGACCTAAGCATTATTGAGTCTAAAACATCGAAAAATGTGACCTCACACCTACACAATTTGTAATGTGGGTGAAATAGTTTTGTTTATTTATGTATCTAGTCTTTTCCACTATTTTACTAGACATGAGTTATAATGACATCTTCCTCGCGCAATAATTACCCTGGCGCGGTAGAATATGTCCAGTTGGTCTAGGTACAAGTAAAGAATATCACAAGTTCAAGGACAAAAAACTTTACTTTCACTATTGAGTCTTGTTAATTAAATGAATAATTACCCCTTATTAGCGCAAAAAACCCAGACAATTTCGAGTTGGGCCAAGTAAGAAATTGACAAAACCTTCTGAAATTTTATAGTACAATCGTTTGTTGATCTGTACAACAATATTAAATTAAATTAAAAATGGCATATCGTTTTGGGAAAGCAAAACCTTCAAAAACGTTTCTTATCCTATCGTATCTATTCAACTCCAACACTAAGCTTGTTTGATAACACAAATATTCGCTCTGACTCTGCAAAAAAAAATAAATTCTTTTTAATTCAAGGGGAGACACGTTTTAGTTTCTTAATCTATTGAATCTGATCCATTTTTACACTAAGGTAAGTAAAAAGGTTGATAATTACACGATTTCATAACGAAAATGAACTCATAGGCAGCAGAAAATGTCAACTTGTCTATGTTTTAATAAAAGGAAACTCCTAAATTTCAGGATTAAATCGTCTCTTATTCCAGCGCCAAGCAGTCAGTTTTTGACCATGGTTCTTGTGCAATTTACATGCACCTTATATTTCCGTAAATAGTAGACTCCAAACTATTGCAATGGGCAATCTTAAGCAGACAAAACTTAGTCACGTTTAAGGTATTTTTTGTAAAAAATCTTTTCCTTAGGCAGACGTGACCAACCCATTGGTCAAACTTTCTGCGGATTAAACACCGCAAGATGCCCTATTAGCAGGGGTAATAGTTGCTGCGATTATCTTGTCATTCTACATATTATGCCTAAATTTTTTTTTATAAAAAGCACTACTTTATGAAGACAAAAGTGACACATTGATTGGTATTATTTAATTGTAAATTTGTCAGAGCAATCGATCAAAGTTTCGCGTTTGTATGTATGTATTAGTATGTTTCAGGTAATGGGGGGTATGTAAGGGATATGGTACAGGACTGTTTTATTCAATGTTTTTGGGTATTTTAAGCAAAAGGCCTTAAATTTTTGAATTAGAGATTCCGAATGTCTTAAATTTTATAGCAAAAGGTGATATACAATTTGATGCACGGAGGCCAATGAGACCAATTTAAAATGCTTAAATGTTGTCCAAGAAACACGGTTGCCAGATGCCTTGTGTGACATGGGTGTAAGTAGTGCAATGGTTTTTTCTCATTTAATACATTTGAAACTCACGGCAATGACAACCGTAGAGCAGCTTGACTAGTATGTCATAAAGTCTGACCTGAAACGTTTTATGCCAAACAAACAACATACTTCGTCATATTTTGAACTTTCATTTCTTTCAGAAATGCATGAACTTAAGACTTTTGTTGACGTCATATTGGCAGTCTTTCAATATTTGATAACAAATTAATGTACAGTTTTAAACATTCTAGCCACGATACGTTGAGCAGATAACTAATCGTTTAAACAACTTGGTGAATGACAGAGGACATCTTGATGACACAGAAATTGTGACAAAAGAAAAGCCGGCTATCACTTACACGTTGAATAAAATAAATAATTGTAGTGCAAACAAGAGCCAACTAGCGGATGAAAACAGGTTTCAAGATAGAATATGATGTTAAAAATAAACACAGAAATATATTAAAACAGAGTTTATTGTTGATGCATCGTTAAATCACATTACATAAAATCTACATAAAAATGTATATTATACCAAATTCAAACATTACCAGTATACGAGAATATTCAGTCCATAGTTCATTATATAATGTAGAATGTATGGAATCTATACCGTTGATAACTACATTTAATGCTATGTGTACGGAATATTTACCATAGGTAAGCGATGTTGACTCATATACTAAAATGTTAAATCTATATAATAAACTACCCTTGATATCATGTTGTATGGAATCATCAAAACAGCATTGCAACAATATTAAGTAATTAAAAATCTGCTTATTAGTAAGTTAAGTTTGTAGAATGTAGTATCAAAGCTACGTTTACATCTAAAACTAACAAACAGTAAACATTTACACAAAGACACTTAACTAACAAAAAGGTTAACACCTGATACACTAAAAAATAAACATTTTCATTTGTAATTATCAATAAAAGTTCAAATTGGTCATACAATACGCCCGTCAGTCTATACTGGTGGAGTTTAGCTTCAAGCAGGTTAAAGGGACAAACATTCTTTTCAGGACATACATTCCAATAGTAATGTTTTAAGGCACATTATGCTTCAGAAATGCTATCTTTCTTATTTCTCTTTTGCTTCTTTTGCTCTGTTGGCTATTTGTTTAGTCTAGTGATGGAAGTCAAAATACCACTTTGATTACATCTTGCTCCTTACTACATCTTCAGACTACTTTCTTCAGTTAACACCTTATATGCACTTAATTAATCAAGAAAACAATAAAAAATACATGTCTAAAAAATTGAATTTTTGAGGCATAATATGCTTTTAAAATCTAAATTTTATGCTACAAAATAAAGTAAAATCATTATAAATACGCATACAATGTACATATATAAAGGAGTAAAAATATACTACTAAAAGAGTTCGTGAAGTAATTTCACGTTGTGACGATCATTAAATTTAATGTAAATAAAAAGTCATAACTTTAACAGAATACACTTTACTGTAAGACATAATCTATGGAAATCTTGGTTTGTTAAAACATATTTTTGCAATAAGCGTGCCATATTACCAAGAAATGGCATTGTGACATTTTAGAAATCCAACTGAAATGTTTAATTCCCATTTATCCCAAAAATTTAGATCATTTTATTTTTATAAAACTTTTTGTTTATTACTTGTTTTGCTGTTAAAGTTTAAAAAAAAACGTTTCTTATTTGCCCTATCGCCGGGCTATCTTTGCGTAGTTTGCATTTAATTTTAGAAGCAAAAACATGTACTTTGTACGAAAAATCGGTGGTAACATGTCTTGAATTATCGAGTTAATCTACATGAATTTCCAATTTCAACTTCAAGTTCACGAAAATTGGAATAGTAACAGTCGTAAATTTGTGAATACCGTATGTTGAAAATGTGAATTCCCGAAGTGAAAATTATGAATTTATGAAAAGATGAAATCGGGAATTCATGAAGTTAAAATGTCCCCACTGGTCGTCTGCATCTTGCTACCTTTTTTTCACAAATTATTTTAGATTTTGCACTATTTCTTTATTCAGATTTTGCACTATATCTTCAGGTAAAAAAACGTATTCCACGTTCTAATTCCATTATTATTACATCAAACACATACTTGCACTCTCTATAGAAAGAAAAAAAAATCATATCTGAATCGTATTTGGTTTGATCTTGCTAGAATAGGGCCATTTTAAGTTCTTATCCTTTTGCACAATTTACTCATATCCTTCTATAGATAGTTAGTTATATAGTTAAAATTTTCTACCCCTTAACATTAGGTGCTCATGAAACAAATGAAATAAAACTACAAAAGTTAGAAAAAAAATTGTATGTATAATATAGAAATAATTGATAACTTAAAACATATTCATATAGGATTCCCTTTAAAGTTATGTTAATAAGGTAAGGAGTAAAATAAGTATGAAACATCCTTGCTAAAATAAAACTTCACTATCAATCTGTCACGCAATTTTCAATTCAACTGCCTTCTTTCCGTTTTTATACTCCCATGGCACAGAGAAGTGCGACCAAAAGACCGAAGACAAATGATCCATTAGCTACACCAACAATTTCTCCAACACCAGCCGAGCATATAATGTCAACATCCGGTTGTGATTTGCCTGTTAAATGTACAAATGTTAATAGCGCAATAAATAAACATGCAAAAATGAAAAGTCAGAAAAAGAGTTCATGCTCATTTTTGTGCTTTGTTATTCTTGAAAATGCTATAATATTATATTTCACATCAAATGGGACAAGAGGACAATATCCACGTTTCACCCGCGTTTCGTGAAAATATTGCAAATCAGACATATGATTAGTTCAACTAAATACACCGTCATACGGTGTACCGTTAGGGCAATCGCGACACACAGGTAACCCGAAACAAAGAAAACACGAAATCGTGATGATAAAAAGTCAAACACGGTAATCAAGATGGTGAGAATTTTTTGAAAACAAGAATGATTTCGTGTTTTCGACTTTTCATACATTTCGAACCTGCCTGCGAAGGAAAGATGGTGGAAAGTCGGAGGTACGATGGTGAAATACGAAACAAAGTTATAAAAAAGGTCGAAAGTACGATTGTTGAAAAGCCGCAATAACAACAACAAAAAAAAGAATCCATCATAGTGACTGGTTGAACTACGATAATGAAAACACGAAGAGGCGAGTTTTCACGATCGTCTTTTTAGTATTTCAATTTCTTACAATCTTACTTTCGATTTCATTATGCCCTTTATATTGTCAGCTTTTTCCCCCGATGAACAGACCTTTATAATTCCAGGGAGCTAGTCAGCTCGCTTATGGAAGCCCGCTTTATTGATTATTATGCCGCAGAATTATATCGTTATCTGAAGTCTCCAACAAGTCTTTTACAAAAACCAATCAGGTACACCTGACTGACATTTAGTTATTTTAAGTCAACTTTTTTTGGGGAAAATAAAATTATCATTATTCATGATATGAAATTTGCAAAATGCAAACTTCAATCGTACAAACCGTCTGGCTCCGTTTGATTTATATGTTATACGTAATATATTGTTTTATCTATTACAGCTTCAGTTTTGTGGAAAACTGATTTGTTTGCTGTCAGGTGCAATTTAGTAACCCGGCGATCAGTGTCGACCAAAATTTTAGGACCTACTTACTGCTTCGTCCAAACGAGTAAACAATTCAAAACGAGAGATGTTCGGAAAACACGTAGACTTTCTTCATATAATATAAACCAAATGTAACACACAAAGAATAAAAAGCTATAATTACGTGTTTTAATATATACCTTATCGATAGGTATCATAAAGATTTTTAAAGAAGTGCAGGTGGCTATGTCACACAGCTAAGATTTGCCATAGTAACATTTACCAGGGGCAACCCAAAAATTATAGATGTTTATTAAACGATTAATGCGACTTATTATATTTTGTGTCGATAGCAGTTTTTTGAAAGTTCCGCAAAAATATGAATGGACGATTAAATGACGTCATTGTAAATTTGTATGTCATTTCAACATTGGTAAGTAATGACGGCGATAGATCGACAATATATTTAACGTCAAAATGCCGTCATCAGAGCGAACAGAATAATAAAATTTGTCATGTTCGGGGTCATACATCATCCGAAACCTTGAACATTATGAACAAGACACAACATACAAATGCTGATAGTCGTGCAATGGTTATAGAAATTGCACAGACGATTTAGAACCTGTAGAGAAATAATAGAAGATGACAGTAGGAGAGGAAATAGTAAAAAATCACGTCGTCCATGGATACGTCAATTCAGGGCGTCTTGGAGGATGACCGACGGCTGACCGTTCGTGAGCTGACGGATATGTTTCACCTGGGTGTTGCCACAGTTCACGGAATTCGAATATCCACATAAATCATGTCAAAGGTAGAGACGTATTAATATTCATGATCACAAAAAAAAATTTGATAGTTGCAAACAACTATGTATGGAATATATTATTAATTTATCCAGATTATTTTTTCAGTATGCCGTTATGGGATTTCAACATACGATAAACAGCTTTTTCATATGTTAAAAAGCGTGAGTTACATGTGTTTTACAGAATAAAACGTCACCATAGTGCAATAACTTATGAACTGCTATTTAGTTCAGAAGCACTTGTTACGTTATTGCACTAAGGTGACGAAAAGTCATAATGACGAAAAGTCATAATTGACAGGGTGATAACTAAGTGTAAAGTATTAAGATTCAAGCTAGATGGATACCAGGACTCCTGAGGGATCACGAGTAAGAACACAGACGACACGAGTCATGAGCCTTCATTAGCAGACACGCTAGAGGGGTGGGGGCATGTTTTTTGAGAAAATAAAAAAATTGAATTAAAACTTATTTAAAGCCAATGGATCACGAACGTTGCATAGAGTGCAACGGCGAGTATTTTTTTAAAAGTGATGACTTTTTTTTGACGTCGCATCAAATTGACATTCAACGTGCGCTGGCGTATGATATTTTTCTTTTAAAGGGTATTTGTTATTATTTGTGTAAAAAAATCTCTTTTTTTGGGGTGTAGAAAAATTAGTAAAACTAACACTGTTTATTTTTAAAAATAACTTTAGAAACCGCAGAGCTGAAACGAAAGTCTTTCTCCGAACATTCCTCGTAAGTAGCAAGTTACAAGAAAACAACTTTTGAAAAAGATATGGTATTGAACATATTTTCATCAAGTTCGACACAAATGAAACATATTTAATATGCAAAGGAAGAAAAGCAATAAAACGTTGGTCACTTCATAATAATTCTTTTGAAAATTTTAAAAGTGAAAAAAAACTGTCGACATTGTAATTACATACCGTTATTAAAAAAACTTCCACAAATAGGAAAACCGGTAGGTGGTTTCGGATGGTTCCCAGGATTGACATTCACAACCATCCCCATTCCGTTCGTGTTGTGCAGATCAATGTGGCAGTGTAGGAACCACATTCCGGGATTGTCCGAGATGAACCGAATTACAACGTACCCACCTGTAATATTGATGTTTGCTGCTTTACTAAATTCAATGTACTTTATGTATATTGGAAACATTAGTATCATCATCTCGTGCAGTCATGTGCAGTCTTTATATACTGCCTGCCATGTAATGACAACTGACGGATCCCAAATGCGTCAATTAAAGAAACTACTAATATTAAATATAATCTGAGGCTTCTAATATTGTTTTAACATGCTGCTCTTTAACGTAGTAACTATCGCAATGAATTTAATATAGATTGGAACGTAAAAAGTGTATGTAATCAATGAATGTTACCATTAAGATCTGCAAACTTCTATTCTTAGAAACATATTTCTCTTATTTGCCATTTCAAGACTAATGCCGTCACAGTGGAAAACACACTCCCAAGTGAAAAAAAAAAAGATTATAGAAATAGGTATTTATCTGAACACTGCCGGAGGATAACGAGATCTGGATCGGGCTATAACGATATATATCGACACTTGTCGATGTTTACCAATTCATTTGGGTTAGAAATTTTTCACTTCTAATACATGTAATTCATCTCACCTGTAGGAACAACGATTGTGTCTTTAATCGGTGGTTCTGGATTTTGTCCTGGTATATTCCCTCCATTCCATTTGCTGTTAGCCCATTCCATTTGAGAACAGAAGCCATACTTATCCGTACAATTAATATCTCTTGACTCCTCGAGAAGCTTCCCAGTAATGGCATTATATGTCCCTATTAACATGGAAATAATCATGGACTGTTAGCAAGAATACTCGTGTGTTTTAATCACTTAAACATCTAATTATGAGTTTCTTTGGTAAAACGTATTAACTTTAAATTCTATGCAGAAAAATATTAAAGGAACACAAATGAGGTCAAATAACCTAAATTAATAAATTTGAATACGTTATATAGATCAAGGGGCGCACTTTAACAGAATATATGTAAAAGATTTTTAACAATTGCCCAAAAATGCATTGGAAATCGTATTTTTGTGTTATTTGTTTCGCAATGCCGTCGTGTACCAAATTTGATAAAATGTGTATATAAAAGGAGTATTCTAATAAGCAAAGATATCTGTTTACTAGTATTTCAAAAATAAAGTTGTCTTATCTCCGTTAAACTAGAAGACAAGTTGTCTTATCTCCGTTAAACTAGAAATATTCTTTTTTCATATTAAGACTTACCAAAGCCCATTTTCATAACGAAGAATGAATGACCATGAAGGTGTACAGGATGTGACCATCCTGATCCATTTCCGATATTCATGAACGTCATTTGAATAAGTTTGTTTCCAGGAATCTCTTGAATGTATGTACAACTGCAGACGCCCTTTTCTCGACACCTTTTTTCGTTACATCGAGTTGTAAGGCCGTTTGGTTGCGTCAACAACGGAGATGTTGGCGGGATGAATTCCCTTGCGTTTACTGACCCCGGCGTGTTTCCTGGAAACCCTGGGAACGCAAACTTGAAAAAATACTCATTGTCTACTTTATTACCTTGTACTTTTGAAGGATTGCGGTATGGATCAGTGTTCTTTACGTCATTGAAGTTTAAACAATTGTTTATGTTGGTTCCGGTAAAGCCGTAAGGACAATTAAATGTTTTACAATTTGTTTGAATATAGCATGTTTCAATTTTGTTGTTTACAGGGGCAAGATCAACTAATCCGGGCGCGTTATTGGCAAATATTATCGCTTCTGCAGCATGATACTTCCCGTGACTTGCTCTTGTTTCAATCGTTTCTGCAATAAGTAGGTATTGCTTTCTACCATTGTCTGTGAAGGTCGCATGAAAGTCATATCGTTCACCCGGATGTACAATAATTGATTGGATTTCTTGATTTTCGATGTTGAAACAGTCAGACGATCTTAGAGACAGTGGGATACCTTCAATGTAAACCCTCATTGGATAAAGTGTCATGGCTCCAATCACTCGAAAGCGATAAATTCGTCCTGTCGTCACGTTAAAGATTTCTAATGGGGCGCTGTTGTGTCCAGTGGCACTTCTCCAGTATCTCCCCTTTCCATTAATAAGACCAGACTTGAACTCAAATCTGCTGAATTTGCCGTTATCGACCGATACTGTAGTATCAACAATTTGAGCGGGACTGTAATCAAAATTGTATTGTTCAGTTATCATCCTCAAGTACGCTGTCTCAGCGTCCATATTGTGATTCCAGTCTTGCAGGGTAACAATAATTTCGCTTATCGGTTCAATATCTCGTTTACGAACGATGAATGGGCCGTATAATCCCATGCTACGCTGGTCCCCAATATGTGCATGATAAAAACTGGTTCCTGGCGGATATGCCTTGAAACGATATACAAAACTTTGACCAGGAAGGATTGGACATTGTGTGATGAAAGCCACTCCATCCATCCATGGTGTGTTTCTCTGATGTATGCCGTGGAAATGAACTGTCACGCTGTCAGTATGAAATGTGTTAACAACCGTTATCTCAATCTCTTGGTTTTCGAATACTTCTACTCTTGGTCCAGGAAATTTACCATTTATAGCAATGACGAGTCTAGAGCCTACCCCGTCAGTCGTGATCACTCTCTCTGACTCATTCTTAGTTAACCTTATATTGTTGTTATTGTAAACTAAGAACCCATTAGCTGCACGAACTAATTTCCTTTCTTCGTGAAGAACCATCGACAAACGGTGTTCTACTACAAATTTGCACTTGCAAAGTGTGACTTCCGGTTTACAAATGCAGTCTGCAGCTTTTGCATATGGTTGTACCTCTGGTCGATTGTACGCATTTACAAAGCAGACACATATAAGAGAGAGTGTAAGTGCGATGCTGCTTTGTTTCATACATACAACAAGCAATCTGGCCATCGTGATTTTGAAAACCTGAAAATAAGAAACAAATTGGCAAAATTGCCCTGCCGTTGATATGATTACAGCTACATGTACATAAAGAAGAAAGCACAAAACTAATGAAAGCAATTAACATGTGATATTTTTATTCATTGTTTTGTTTTGCAATAAATATGAACTCAGAAGCAAGAAATAATAATGTGACTAAGGGTTAAAGGTAATGTATTCATGCTTTATTTTTATTCTAAAAGGCTAAACATTTTACCTCTAAGATGTAAGTTAGCAAGGTGTTTCCATATTTTTAAATGTGAATAAGTTTTTGACCTCGGATTTCCAATATCCTAATTAAAGCAAGAAATAAAAAACTTTTCCATCAAATTTCCAGAATATTTGGGATAAAATTGTAACCTCAAGAGTATTCAGTTATTTTCTTCTTCAAAATTTTAGCTCTTTAGCCCAATTTTTGAGGTCCAGATGATCGATATTTCACGTGTTCTAGAAATTTCAGACAATTTTACAGAATGTTTCGGTATCAAATGTTACCTCAAAAGTTATATTTTCATAATAAGGCTATATGACAAAGTTTTTTTTTTATATCAAGATAACCTATATTCACTTCTAGGCTATGTATCGTCGAAACAACATTAACGAAAGATGTCCAGGATATTTGGCCTCTAGAATATTAATTAGGTTTTTCTACGACTTAGTCTTTGACCCCAGATGACCCATATTCAAACTCGTTGATCAATTGAATTATTGTGATCTGTATTAGTGACCCGTAGACATAGATTGTATATTGGTGGGACAAAAACCAATATTTTTCCGGAAACTGCAATTTACAGTGGATTTCTGATTGTACAAACAGTCGATTTAACATAAAAAAATATTTCATTTTTTTCTTCAATATTTTTGCGTGGCCTTTTTTGAGAAAAAAAAATTGACTGTAAAAAATGAAAGAAAATAACATTCAAATAAGTCTTAAGTATTGGCTTTCCGCCAAATTCAGATTACGTGATTTCGTGATGTGGTTAAATAAACACAGCAAAACAAATATAAATATCTAAAAGGTGTACTATCTTATAATCTCCGATTATTAACTTAAATTGCACCAAGGCTTCTAAATCAAATTGTTCTCACGTGGTTGGTTTCAAGCAGTTAACGTTTAAATTAACCTGGATATTGATTTGTAAAGCAGTAAATTTAAATATATTGAAGAAACATAAACAATAGCGACCAGCAGTATAGAGCTTGGTCGGATGGCACATTTATGCAATTTAAGCAAATCACTTTCAGTAACGAAAGGTTTAAAGGTAGAAATATTTGCAAAAGAAGAAAACTTATCTCGAGATATTAAAGCACACATAGCAGTAAACTGAATTTTAGTTTCATTAAAAAGGGACTCAAATGAAGTCTTTTAGCATGACGTGACAAGAATTTCTTTTTCGAAAATTAATGTATCATTTGATGTAGGTCTTGACCCATTACATATCTGCAGAATTTCACATCATTCGCTCACTCTGTTTTTGCCAGAATAATAACGCCAATTTTAAAAACCGATCCAAAATTGAAAACGCGCGGCTGCGCTTGTACTCGAATTGGGCCACGAGTAACACAAAATACAAGTTTGTTACATTTCTAAATCGTCATTTGCAAACTTGCTTTTGAAAGTGCAGACAGAAATTCAAATTATGTTTCTATGCTTTTAGACCTCAGTTCAGGTCCTTTAATTTATCTATAATAACATGCAATTTAAATGCAAACGTGCTGTCACGATTTTCTTTAAAAAATATAACAACTATCATTATACATATGCAATAAACTAACGATAAATTCAAAAGTTCGATAGCACAAATAAGTAAATATGGAGGAAGAAGAACATTAATAACAACTAACACAACAAAAATAAAAGATATTAATATTGACTTACCCTCAAGTCTTAAAACTAAACTTGTTGCGTCCAAATAACTTGCCGAATGTCTATCTTTTTTTAGATCAATTCTGAATTGAAGCGACGATTGTTTAACTACAATTCAAACTATAACCCTTAAAGTTCAAGCAGTTTAAACATGCACAGTGTTTAAATTACTCTGTTACCTTTCTTGTTCATTTCGATATTTTTTCGTGGAATTCTAAATTTAGAAATGAAAATGAAAATTGATTATTTCATGTAATACTGTGCGTCTTCTTTGAAATTCTTTTTTTATTGTGTTAGGGTTTGGATTTGTTTCTTTTTTTATTCTTCTTCTTTTGTTTGGATTGATTTGTCTGTTTATTCGATTACTCCATATTGAAAGGTGTACAAGCAAGACTTAAATAAGACTATACAATAGAATGATAATACATAATAAGTGGTTTAAAGATAAGTAATAAAAAGAGCACCGAAACACGAGGTTATCTGATTTGTACGAGGGGGGCGAAGCCCCCCGAGTATTAATCAGATTACCGAGTGTTTTGGTGTTCTTTCTCTTTTGTATCATAGTCAAACATAAAAACACTTTCCCTGTTGTTACAATATGAAACCCCGGCAAAAATGAACCAATGAACGAGCATCTAAATATGACATTTCTGTCGATTTCACTTTCACTGCCGTCACAATATGTAATCCCCAGCAAAAATGAACCAATCAATGGGCATGCTCTGGAGTGCGGGTAACTAATACCCGCACTCCAGTTAACGCACTGTGCATGTATATGTATACGAATTAACCCTGACACATTTTCAACAGAAAGGTCTCCAAACTATGATACAATTATACATATATATATATGCTCATCATTGAGTAAAATATTTCAATTTAAATCTTTGGAAATCTTACTGAATATGTCTAATTTGACTAAAGGAATGAATAAACTATATATGGGAAGATGCGTACCCTATAACAGATCAAGTAAAGTTTTTATTTTCTTAAATAAACTGCCAGTTTTTTAATCACACTATACATTCATATTGTGATCATTTTTAGTGTGTAGGATTTTAAACATAACATATCTACTGTCAAGTGCAAACTACCGTTCACGCCCCCTAGCACCGGTTTAAGCAGAATTCAACATTTTAATGAATTTTGATGTGTTCATACCGCGATAATCATTGAACCTCCAATGTGACACAATAGTTCCGTTTTATGAAAAGCGGCGTATGGCCCCCAAGTGATAGAAAGCGCTAAAAGGAAATATTTTGTTAAAAGTAACAACAAAAGTCATTAAAGTGATATTTTGACTTTGATTCAAAGTACTGAATAACTTTAACTTTACTATTTGCAAAAACGCAAAAGAAGGACTGTTGGTAGCTCATGATTGATTTATTTAGGAAATTTGTAATTAGAACTTGTTCAGCGATTTAGTATTTTGTATAAAAGACACAATGCCACAATGTTGTGTTTACATTTTGCCACTTTAATCACAAATTATTTCACATTTGCCAAGACAAACGCTCCTGTGAAGTTTGAGGGGGAAAGCCTATGGACTGTCGAGTTATTCGTGGGAAACAACATTGCTGAATACAGACGCATGTAAATTTTCCAAAGTAATGCTCGATTCTTTAATAACTCCTATTCTTTTTCCCTATCAAACGATATTATTTGTATTCTTTAGAAATCTTACATTATTCTCTAAAAATAAATTAAGCAAATTTGTTTCTTTGAAAACTCAAGACACGTGCGCTTTAAATGTGACTCTACGCCGGAGAATTGTGTCATATTTGTTGCCTTCATTAGACCGAAAGCTAAGCTGAAAATCAATATGCATCAAAGTTAGTGAAATCAAGACAATCTGTTTAATTTAATGCTATTCTATATTTATTTCATATCAAAGTACCTGTTGTGTGTTGCAAGCAATTACATTTTCTTCCAGGTAAAACTTGTCTGTTGGAAGTGAATTCTTCAAGGATACAATTATTAATTACTTCCTTATAGGCGAATAGCGCATAAAAAGTTCACCGTAATAATTTAAAACAGTTAAAACCCTACCTAAAATAGCAGCGTAATATTTTGTTCCGTAGCATTTTTATGTTTACATATAATACTTTTGTGTGTTAAATAATATTCTATGTAACAAGTATTTCGACACTTTTACTGTTTATAAATTTCATAAAAAAATATTTTATTAGGTATATCCTTTGAGAGTATTGCATTTTGCTATATTTTAATAATTTAATATTTACCAGCTGTCAAGTGTTTTTATGTTAGAGAGGAAATAAGTGGGCGTTTTAGGTGGAGATTATCTTTATTATGGTCATATCTTTTATGGTAAGTGAAACCTCTAAAATTTGTGGATAAAAACGTTTCTTACACTATCGCATATGGTCAACTCTAATACTAAGCTGGATTTAATCATGGCATGTATGAGCACAAATATTCACCCTGACTCTGCAAAAATGTATTATCAGTCAAAGCATGTTGTACAAGAATTCTTTAAAATTTACAGGCAGAACCCTTTAAGTTTCTTGATCTTTTGCATCTGATCCATTTTTAAACTAAGATCAGTTAATAAGTTGATAATTACACAATTTCGTTCGGAAAATGCACTCAGAGGCGGCATAAATGTCAACTTATCTATGTTTTGGGTTCAAGAAATCTCGTAAGTTTCAGGGTAAAATCGTCTCTTATTCCATCGCTAAGCAGGAAGTTTCCGACATTGGTTCTTGCGCACTGTTCATTTACCTTATATTACTGTAAAGACGAGCCTTCAAACTATTACAATGGACAAAAGTGTCGCAAGAAGAGCAATTAGTTGATCACGTTAAAGATAACTTTTATTTTAAAACACCTTTTCCTGAGGCAGTCGTGACCAACCCATTGGTCAGATTTTCCTGCAAAAGAACCACTGCAAAAGTTCGGATGCTTCCTTTTGCTAAAATATTGGGCACATTGCGCTCGCTAGAGCAAATTGGCAATCAGATGCCCGTGTTGCATAGGTGTTATAGCAATGTTATTCTCATTATGTTTGTTCAAGAAGCATGACCAGATGCCTTGTGGGACATGGGTGTAAGCCAGTGCAATAATTTGCTCATTTTATACATTTGCAACTTAAGATATGTGGCCTGCTTTTGACGTATTATCAGTGATATGCAGGCTTTTTAAACTCTGATCCCCTTTCATTTTATTTACTTGCGCCAATTGTTTTCTCGTTTAGGGCAAACACACTTTTATATTTGGGTAGTTTGCACTTGACAGTACCTCCATGCACAGGCTTAATCAAACCGAGCCTGCAATATTTTCAATTTTGCCGTGTTGGGCTTTTTTTAGGGATTCTTATTTCTCTCTTTTTCACGAGGACAACCTGAGAGTAGCTGGACAAGTATGTCTTTAAATCTTACCTGAAACCTTTTATGCCAAACAAACATCATACTTCGTTGTACTTTTTAACTTTCTTTTCTTTCCGAGTGAACTAAAAGGTGTTTTTGACGTCATATTAGCATTTTTATCAATATTTAACGACCCATCGTTGTACTATTTTGAACGTTGTTACTACGGTACGTTTACCAGCTAAAATATTGCTTCCAGTTTAATAGATAAACAACACCTGGCGAATTACATTACAATTCAAATCATGACATCGTATATTGCGTAACGTCTGATTACATTTCGCGCGATTTTGACATCTGGTGTGTGATCCGCATATCCGGATAACGAGTTCGGCTCCGAATGACTTCTATACATGAAAAGTGTATTTATTTAAAACAGAAAATTCAATTCTTTATAGCTATCTATTATGAACATGTTTCACTTGCCTTGCAGAGAATGATAAACATTCTGTATTACGTGAAACAATAAGATTTAAAACCTTTTGAAAAGGGACATCGGATATCCCTTAAACGTTGAGAAACATAGAAATTGAAGTACAAACAAGAACCGGCGGATGAAAATGGCTTTTAGTGTTCTTGTCCTTCGGGATCATTGATTCAAACATTTGAAAGTGTTGAAAATTGAGTACCGCTCAAGCCGGTGCTTGGAGGCATGATGGATGTTGCACTTTTTCAATATCCCTCATGTACATGTACAGACACAATCAAATCGAGTCTGCAATTTTCAATTTATTTTGTTGTTGCAAATGCTTCCGAGCGATCACGTCCCCTTCTTCCAGATTTAAAAAAATAAGCTAAGAAATATAGTAGAATAGAGTATATTGTTGGTGCATCAAAAAATCACATAACAAAAAGATCTACATAAAAAGGTATATAATACCAAATTAAAACAGTACCAACATACATCATCAGTTCCTTTTTATATTCAGTCCATAGTTCATTAAATAATGGAATCTATACCGTTGGTAACCGACATCATATAAAGATCCTGTCTGTTGTAATTACGGTTGTTATCACACGTAAGTGAAATTTTATATATGTATATAATTATGCTTCTAAAATAATTTTAAAACATCGAAGAATTTGCAAAAAAATACTGCAAATATTTGTCCACATTATTTGTAATCGTTAAAATAATTATATGCATTCATTTCTTATTAAAAATTTGACTTAGACTTTATAGATAATAAATTTTCAATTACCATTCCATTATTTACATGAAATGTAAATTCGGTAAAAATCTTTAATAACTGTTATTTGAAACTACAATATTGATAATTTGAGCATTATATTTATGTTATAAAACCATAAAAATTTAGTTACAGGATCTTTAATATAGTGTGTACCATGGGAAACCGATGTTGGCTCATATACTTAAATATTAGATCTATATAATAAACTACCCTTGAAATCATGTTGTATGGAATCATCAAAACAGCATTGCAACAATATTAAGTAATTAAAGTACTGCTTGTTAGTATGTTACGTTTGTAGAATGTAGTGTAAAAGCTAATTTGACTTTGATCAGTCAATAACATAGAGTCTGGTCAGACTCTATACTGGTGGAAAAGATTAGCTTCAAGCAGGTTAAAGGGTTAAACATTCTTTTTATGACATACATTTCAAGTCATATGTTTAAATTCACATTATGCTTCAGAAATGTTATCTTTCTCATTTTTTATTCTAAAAAATATCTTATTTTTCGGTATCATGTTACAGTTTTCAACAAAATACATGTACTTATTTGCAACATAGTTGAAGTATCTTGCTTCTTTTTCTCTGTTGGCATTCGGCATGCTTTAGTGAATAAGTAGTTTGTTTGGAAATCAAATTACAACTTTAATTACATTTTACTACCTTTATGACGCATAACTGCAAATTTAGTCTATTTTCTCCAACATGCACTCAATCCATTATGAAAAATAATGTTCGACATTTCTAAAAAATATGAATTTGTTAAGCATAATGTGCCTTTAAAATCTTAATTTCAAACTGCAAAATTATGTAAAATCTGAACAAATAAGCATACACATTTAAAAGTATGAATATATACAATTTTAAAATGCGTTACGGTATTTCACATAATGACGAGTATTAAATAACATATTCAAAATGTCACAACTTTATGAAAACAAATTTGTAAAAAAAATTGTGCAATAAGCGTGTCATATTACCAAATAATATCAACAGTTATGGCATGTACTTTACAGTTTTAGAAGTATAAAACCCTCGCGTTACTGCCCTTTCAACGCCAAAATTGATATGTTTAATGCTAAAAATGTAAACATTCTTTGGTGTTTAAAGCATTTCTCATTTATTTGTGTCCTGGAATTATTTCTAAAACGTTTCTTTGTTGTCATACAGCCGTATGTTGTCTTATACGTCTTTTGCATTTTTGAAGTCAAAATAGACATATATGAACTTTGTTTACACTATACTACCCTTACAACAATAAAATTATGTCATATTTATCGCTATATTCTTCAGCTGCCATCTTTCACGTATAACATTATCAAATACATACTTGCCTTTTCTTCAGAAAGAAAAAAAATCTTATTGTGCCTTACACTTGCTAGAGACATTTTACATAGTTTATTAAATAGTAAACATTTTCTACACACTATCATAAGATGTTAATATAACATATGAAATAAAACTATAAAGGTTATGAAAAATATTGTATGTTTAGAATATTGTATCTTATAACTTAAAACATATACAAATTGTCTCTCTCTCTATATATTTATATTAGGAAAGTCACGCATTTTATTATAATCGGTATTCAAAATCGCTCTTTAAGCTAATGTAAATATATATGTCAAATAAGTCTGTATTGTTAAAAATCACAATCAGCCTGTTACGTAATTTTCGAGTCAACTGCTATTCTAATTGCAACAATATCTCACGGCAATAATTATTATTATTGCGAGCAATAGACCAAAGACAAATGATCCAATAGCTACGCCAACAATTCCTCCAACTTCAAGCGGGCAGTCATTGTCAGCATCCGACTGTGGTTTGCCTGTTAAATGAATACAATGATCGTCGTATTAGTAAATGCAACAACAATACATCCATTAAAAAGAGTAAATGCACATTTTTGTGCTCTACTTTTCCTAACAATACTATTCATCTCACACCAAAGTGAATAAATATCCACATTTCACTCGCGCTCGTGAAAATATTGCAAATCTGACATATGATCAATTCAGATAAACTGCTCGACTGAACACAGTCATATCATGTGTTGTTTTATACCATCGCGACCCACGCACATAACTCGAAGCAAAAGGAAATGGTCAAAAATCGTGTTTTCACATTGTTTACCATCGTTCCAGCGAAGAAACGATGGTAATAAGTCGAGAGTACGATTGTGAAAAAACGAAACTAGGGTGATAAAAAGTCAAAACAACGTTTAACGATGATAAAAATCGATGGTGAAAAGTCAAAAGGTACGATGATTATAGGACAAAAGGACAAATATGAGAAGTTGAAATAACGAAACTTCGGTGATGAAAAGTTGGAAGTCCAAAAAATATCGTCGGAGTCACGGAAGTACGATGATGAAAAGTCAAAAACACGATGAAATCAAATTAGAAATAAAGAATCCATTATGATAAAAGGACGAAAGTACGATGGTGAAAACACGAAATTATATCGAGTTTTCACTAATTACGTTATTGCGACTTTTCATATTGGTACTTTTGACTTTGATGCACCAACTTTTGGCTTTTAGAATTCATTGGAGTTACATGTAGCAAGGTCGCTTACGGAAGCCCGTTTTATTGATTCTTAAGTCAATGAATTTCTTAGTTAACCGTTCTCTGAAGCATGTAGCAAAATAGACTATCTTAAAACCTAGGTCATGTGACAAGTACCCAGGTTCGCATGGCTGAAATTTAGTAACGTTAAGTCAATTTCCCGGTAAAGGAAATTTTCATTGTCCAAATTCCGAAGCATGGCCATGATTTTTGCTAGCTGCGAGCTTCAATCAAAGGAACCACATAGCTTCGTATATCAAACGTTGTATATATGATCTTATCTATAATAGCTTCATTTCTGCTGGCAAACTGATTTGTTTGCTGTCAGGTGCAATTTCTAACCGGCGACCAATAGCGACCAAGATTTTAGGGTTATGCATCAGAACTTATTGCTACGTCCGAATGAGTTATATATGTATTAAACAGCATAACTCAAGTTAATCTTATTAAAATCTTACAAAAGTCACTTCATTATAGGGCAGTGACAACTTAGAAGACAATTATAAATTTATGGTACTGGACATAGTGTCATCATATTCAAACAAAGTGAATGTACGTCTAATGCGCAAAACACTCCAAACCACAACTAAGGTAAACAATAAATCACTTCCTAATGGCACCTTTGAAATGTTAAGAGCGAAAATAATTGTCAACTTTGTAATTACATACCGTCATTAAAAAAACTGCCACACGTTGGAAAACCGGTCGGGGGTTTCGGATGATTCCCAGGACTGACATTCACAACCATCCCCATACCGTTTGTATTGTGAAGATCAATGTGGCAGTGTAGGAACCACATTCCGGGATTGTCCGAGATAAATCGAATAACAACGTACCCACCTGCAATAATTATGTTTGCTGCTTTACTAAAATAGATGTTTATCAAAATTAACATCAACAATCACGCGAAGTCATAATGTATTACCTAACATGACATACAATACATAACTGATAGGTCCTTGACAAGACCACCAACTACATCTATTTAAAGAAATAATATAGAGGATGTTTGTTTAGTTCAGTGTAAGATCGGAATATATTTCACCGAGTGAGCACCAAAAGTTATATTTCACGAGTGGCGCAGCCACGAGTGAAAGATGAACTTTTGGTGTTCACGATGTGAAATATATTTCGATCTTACATTAAACTAAAGAAATGTTATTTTCATTATATGCAAAGAAACGTTTAAAAAGACATTTTAACTTAGTACTAAATGAAAAGGGCGCCAAATAATAATATAACGTGACGTCATTTACGACTTCACGTCATTAAGTTGGTTTCCAGTACTGTGAACGCTTGCATTTCACTGAAACAACGTACTGGGCTCAAATATTCAAAACAGTGAAATTATCAAATCGATAATTTCACTGTTTCAAACAGTGAAATTACCAGTTTTTAACTCACTGATATATTTCTATAAACCACCGAAAAGCATGTAATAAAAATATTTAATATGATATAATTGAGGGATTTAATCTAGATGGTAATATATAAATGAATGTAATAAGTGAATGTAACGCTTAAGATTTGAAAACAAATACTGATCTTTTCCACTTGGTTTAAACATATTTATTTCCAAAAGTAAATATAATGTACATACAAATACATAACAAACAAAGAATGAGAATGAAAGACAAGTCTTATAGAATTCTTCTCCTTTGGCGAACTTTATAGTTTGTCTTAAATAAGGTAATAGTTAGTATATACTAGACAAGGGAATAAGTATAAGTTATATACACACATATAAATATATATTTATATATAGACTTATATAGAATAGATTAACTACAAGTAGATGTCTAAAATGTAAAAATATATATAAAAGAAAAAAATAAAATAGTGGGAAAAGAAGAAAGAGTGAGTGAGAGGATTATAGTCTCAATAAGAATGCAAGTTAAGGAGGAGTGTTCTGCGGACGGCATCGTATGCAGAGCACTGGAAAAAGAAATCTTATTTAGTTTTGATTTGCTCACAATTACACAAAGGGGTAAAAGAAAACATTGGGTGATTGAATGCGCTGCAGTTCGTTACTTGTGACAGTGGAAAACACTCCAAGTGTTCCATAAACTATAGAAAACATAGGTATATTTACAAACACTCCCGAAAGAGGGCGAGATCTGGCTCGGGGTTTAACGATATTAACCGATATTTGTCGATGTTTGTCGATTCATTTGGGTTTGGAATCATTCATTAGTAATAATTATTCTCACCTGTAGGAACAACGATTGTGTCTTTGATCGGCGGTGCTGGATTTTGTCCTGGTATATTCCCGCCATTCCACGTGCTGTTAGCCCATTCCATTTCAGAACAGAAGCCGTACTTATCCGTACAATTAATATCTGTTGACTCCTCGATTAGCTGTCCAGTTACAGCATTATATGTTCCTTTTAGAATAGATATAAGGATGAAATATTAGCAAGAATACTTGACATATGTTTTAGTCATTCACCATGTTATTCAGAGTTTCTTTGGTAAAACGCATGAACCTAAAATTCTATGCTGAAAAATATAGGAGGATATCTAGTGTGGCGAAAAACTTGAAGTCATAAAATTTGAATATCTTACTTAGCTTAAGTGGCGCACTTAAACAGAACAAACGCAAAAGGTTATTAGGAAATTCACACAAAACGATTTACAAATCGTATATTTGGCCTATATGTAACCCAATTTTGCAATGTTTTTTTCAATTTTGGGTAATTTTTCATTAAAATAACTATTCTGTAAATGCACTGATCGGTACACACAAGTTATTTTCCAAGACTTACACCAAATGGATCATAAGTTGAATTCTGCTTAAGCCGGTGCTAGGGGGCGTGGACGGTAACTTGCACTTTCCAGTACCGTCCATGAACAGGCTCAATCAAACCGAGCCTGCAACATTTTCAATTTTGCCGTGTTGGGCTTTCTTTAGGGATTCTGTATTTATCTCTCTCATAAATCTCTAAAAAATGAGTCCTGTACAGTTATGTCAAAAAATAAAAAGTAGAAGCGAAAATGTTAAAACCATGTGTATTTAATACATATACACTGTATAACCATTTCACTACGAGTACATTAGGCATTGCATTTACAAACAGAAACATTTTCGTTGAAAAAAATGAACACCATTTCGTCAAGGTGTGGTCAGGGTTTATTTATCAAATTTGATCACTTGTTTATATAAAAGAAGTATGTCAACAAGCATTGATTTCTGTTTACTTGTATTTCAAAAATTAAATAGACTTATCTCCGTTAAACTAGAAATATTCTTTTTAAAATGTCAATTTTCCATATAAAGACTTACCAAAGCCCATTTTCATAACAAAGAATGATTGACCATGAAGGTGAACAGGGTGTGACCATCCTGATCCATTTCCTATATTCATGAACGTCATTTGAATAAGTTTGTTTCCAGGAATCTCTTGAATGTATGTACAACCGCAAACACCTTCTTCTCGACACTTTTCTTCGTCACATCGAGTTGTTAGGCCGTTTGGTTGTGTTAACAAAGGAGACGTTGGCGGGATGAATTCCTTTGCGTTCACCGACCCCGGCGTGTTTCCTGGGAACCCTGGGAACGCAAACTTGAAAAAATACTCATTGTCTACTTTATTTCCTTGTACTTTTGAAGGATCGCGGTATGGATCAGTGTTCTTTACGTCATTGAAATTTAAACAGTTGTTTATATTGGTTCCGGTATAACCATAAGGACAGTTAAATGTTTTACATTTTGATGCAACAAGACATGTTTCCTCTTTGTTGTTTGGAGGGGCAAGATTAACAGATCCGGGGGCGTTGTCGACAAATATTATCGCTTCTGCAGCATGGTACTTCCCGTGACTTGCTCTGGTCTCAATCGTTTCAGCAATAAGTAGGTACTGTTTTCTAGTTTCATCTGTGAAGGTCGCATGAAAATCATACCTTTCGCCCGGATGCACAATAATTGACCGGATATCTTGATTTTCGATGTTAAAGCAGTCAGATGATCGTAAAGACAGTGGGATTCCTTCGATATAAACCCTCATAGGATAAAGTGTCATGGCGCCAATCACTCGAAAGCGATAAATGCGACCTGTCGTCACGTTAAAGATTTCTAATGGGGCGCTGTTGTGTTCAGTGGCACTTTTCCAGTATCTCCCCTTTCCATTAATAAGACCAGACTTGAACTCAAATCTGCTGAATTTGCCATTATCGACCGAGACTGTAGTATCAACAATTTGAGGGGGATTTGTATCGAAGTTGTATTGTTCAGTTATCATCCTCATATACGCTGTCTCAGCGTCCATATCGTGATTCCAGTCTTGCAGGGTAACGATAATTTCCCTAATCGGTTCAATACGGATTTCTCGTTTACGAACGATGAATGGACCGTATAATCCCATGCTGCGCTGGTCCCCAATATGTGCATGATAAAAACTGGTTCCCGGCGGATATGCCTTGAAACGATATACAAAACTTTGACCAGGAAGGATTGGACACTGTGTTATGAAAGCCACTCCATCCATCCATGGTGTCTCTCTCTGATGTATGCCGTGGAAATGAACTGTCACACTGTCAGTATGAAATGTGTTAACAACCGTTATCTCAATCTCTTGGTTTTCAAATACTTCTACTCTTGGTCCAGGAAATTTACCATTTATAGCAATGACGAGTCTTGAGCCTACACCGTCAGTCGTGATTACTCTCTCTGATTCGTTCTTAGTTAACCTTTCATTGTCGTCATTATTTTTAACTAAGTACCCATTAACTGCACGAACTAATTCCCTTTCCTCATGAAGAACCATCGACAAACGGTGTTCTACTCTAAATGTACACTTGCAAAGTGTGACTTCCGGTTCACAAATGCAGTCTGCGCCCTTCACAGCAGATGGTTGTACTTCTGGACGTTTGTACGACTGCTGCGCATTTACAAAGCAGACAAACAAAAGGCAGAGTACATGTGTGGTGCATTGTATAATACATAAATCTAGCAATCTGGCCATCGCAATTTTGTCAACCTGAAAGTAGAAAACAAATCATCAAAATTGCTTTTACTCCACAAACGAATTTGAGGGGGTATATAGGAGTCATTTTGTCGGTCGGTCCGTCCCCTGGTCTCCTTTCTAGTTACTGGGTGATAACTTTAGTTTGGAATGAGGTATTGTAATCAAACTTGGTATGTACGAGGGTTGTTCGGGAAATTCTGAGAATTTTGTCATATCTCCTATATTTTTGTTTCTATGACGTAATATTTTGCACATACTAAGATTAGCATATCACGGAACTATTCCTAAAAATTAAATAGAATCAGACAACAATAGCCGGAAAAAGCAGTAACCATAGCAACACTAAAACGCCGCACCGGAGCAGTCCGACTCTAAAGAAAGGTATAACGCGCTACACTAATAATATTTCGTAATTTTGATAACGTAAAAAATGCGCGAAAACGCTTGTCAGCAGCGGAACGTCATGACGTCATTTCCTGAAAATATCATAACGTTATTTAAATTCTCAACGAATCATTGTTTTAAAGTTGTTGCCCAGAGCCACTGAGTAAACAACATGACGTCGATAGGTGACGTTGAATTCCAAAGCATCGTGAAATTTTGTGTTGCGCTGGAAAAGTCTTCCATAGAAACAATGAAAATGATCAATTCTACAGGTACAATACAAGAAATGCAGTCCGGCTACAGTGTATAGATAGCATGCTCGTTTTAAAGAATGAAGAAACTCGATAGAAGACGATCCTACAGCCCGGACCTCGCTCCGATGGACTTCCGTGTGTTCCCGGAGCTGAAATCACAGCTGCGTGGAAAACGCTTTGACTCAGCTGACCATCTTGTTAAGCATACGCAAGCTATAGTCTCGTCCTTTACCGATAGCTGGTACGTGGAAACATACAATAAGTGGATCAGCCGACACAGGAAATGCATCGAAATTGCAGGTGACTACGTTGAAAAGGTGCGACGATCGATGGACTTTAACGTCGCATTACGTTGCAAATGAACCGGCGTGCTCCGGGTGTTGTTATATGGTTATTACTATTTTTATTATGTTTTAGTTTCTGTGTGTATGATGATGATATTTTCAGATACTGTACAGTATATATTGAAATAAATGCGTATATATTTATATTTACGCTAACCCGACTACAACGTGTGCTATAAAACAATTCTCAGAACTTCCCGAACAACCCTCGTAGCAACCTCATGTGACGACCCCGATCGGTATAGCTTTTGGACACCCTAGGGCCAAGGCCTATTCACTGTTACTAAAAATAGAGAGAAAGAAAACGGTTTCCGAGTTTGGTAGAAATAATGTCAAAAAACTTTGTATTTTGCAAGCTTATGTAAAAAGACCCAGGTTGGTATTGCTTTTGTACCTCTTTAGACCCAGGTCAAGGTCACTGTTACTTAAACTAGAAAAAAAATGTTTCAGGTCTCCGGACAATAACTGGAGTTTAGAATGAGACTTTGTAGTCAAACCTGGTATATAACAAACTTATGTAAAGACCCCGTTTGGTATTGATTTTGGACCCCATGGGGCCAAGGTCGATCAATGTCACTGTTTCCTGTCAATAACTGGAGCTCAGAATGGGATATTGTAATCAAACTTAGCAAGCTTATATGAATACTCTAGGTGGAATTACTTTTTGATCCATTGGGGGTGAAGGTAACCGTTACTTAAAATAGATTTTTTTTTGGCAATAACTATAGTTTGTGGTGGCATGGCCGATTGGTTATTGCGTCGGACTAGTAATCTAATGATTTTTGACCGCGTTGGTTCAAACCCTGTTGTTTCTTTGTGCAAGAAACTTTACATTCATTGCTTAGTACTGGTCAGGAACGCATTCGAGAGTGTTTCACTTAGCGTATAGCATCCAACACAATCGAACTAAAATAAATTTTTATAAACTAATTACATGTATATCTTGAAATGAGATATTGTAATCAGTCTTCTGTATTTATCTATTTTATGATCACATCCGTGTTATTTGTGCCGTGTGGCGGCTGTAAAAAGTCTCCCCGTACATTTTATCAATGATGTTATATTTTCGATTCTTGAAGATCGTTCAGCACGACATTATTGTTGTGCTTGTGGTATTTTTAGTTTCACTGTTTCGGCTTTTTCTGGTTGGGTGGTTCCAATATTCCTACTTGAATAATGTTGAATCACCCATATGATATGTTGCCTGCTTTTTAAATCTGTCTTTTGACGTCTTATCTGTGATACGCAGGCTTCATAGCCTCTGATCCCCTTTCAAAATTCCATTTTATTTAGTTCCGCCCATTGTTTTCTCGTTTAGGGCACACGCTTTTTATTACTTGGGGACCATACGCCGCTTTTCATGGAATGGCACGGAAGTGTCACATTGAAGGTTCCATGATAACCGCCGTATGAACACATCTGCGAATGTTTCTAAATTCAAAATTTTACCAGTTCATGTTTAAATGTTGAATTCTGCTTAAGCCGGTGCTAGGGGGCGTGGACGGTAACTTGCACTTTCCAGTACCGTCCATGAACAGGCTCAATCAAACCGAGCCTGCAACATTTTCAATTTTGCCGTGTTGGGCTTTCTTTAGGGATTCTGTATTTATCTATTTTGGTATATAGATAGCTTAAAATGGCAGGTATTGCTTTTGCCCCCCCCCCCGGGGTACACTAGGTCACTGTTACTTAAAAAAGGAAATGTTTTTTGACAAAAAAAAATAGTTTAGAAATTGTTATTGTAATCAAACTTGGTATTAAGCAACTTTATGTGGAAACCCTGGTTTTGGATTGCACTTTGACCCACTAAGGTCAAGGGTCACTGTTAATGTAAATAGAAAAATGGTTTTTGGATTATAAATAAAGTAAGGAATGAGATATTATTATCATAATAAGTGTAAAGCAAACTTACACGAAGACCATGGTTGGGATTGCAATGAATTGAAATAATTCTTTGTAAACGGTTGAAACTTCATTAAATTATAGGGTTTTTTTATTGGAATTGTATTAAAGAGTTCTTGAAATGAATTTACACAATAAAATTTATTAAGGGCCTGTGAAAAATCATGACATTCAAGAAGAAAATGATTAACGGTAGACTTTTCATTTCAAGCTACACAGAAAGGGGCATTGTCATTCGTAAGGAGATAAGAGTGGGTAATTTTAGTGAGTCCAATTCGGCATCGAAGAAGAACTGTTTGATCATGACGGTTTGACAGAGATAGAGATGGTAACACATCAAGAGATGGGTTTATATCGTGAAGTTTATTCAAATCGGCATTGTCCCAATTTGCTTCCCATTCAGGTGATACGAGTTTATTTATAGCCGGTCTAAAATCACAAGCAGGTAACAAGAAGACAGTTGTTTTTTGAAAATTTAATGATTGTTTAGCAAAAGCATCTACTTTTTCATTTCCTCTTATACCCACATTACTTGGAATCCAATATAACTTAACAGATTTTGTTTTAAGTATATCATGAAATCGTAAAAGAAGTTTCCTTAGCATGATATTGTCAGATTTTTTTATTTTTAATGGATAAATAGTCAGAAAATATCACAAATTTATCATTGGTATGCTGTACTATGTATGACGATGCTTAATATATCGCTTTTGCTTCAGCAGTAAAAATTTATGCATTATCTGGTAACACAGATATACTAGATGTAAAATTATTTTCAAACACAGGCGCACCTACTTTGCAACCTTCTTTTGAACCGTCTGTATAAATATGTATAAAATCTTCATGTTCTTCCTTAATTGCTAAAAACTTCTCTTTGAAATGTTCAGGTGAATTTGTGACTTTTTAATATTTGAAAGGTTTATATTTATTTTCGGGGAATTATAAGACCAAGGTGTAATACCCTCATCGTCATTTTGAAGGATACTGTCTGGATTAATTTAAAGTTTATCTAAATCATCTTTTAAACGAATGCCTAATGGTTAAACTTCCTTTGGTCTGTTAACAAATTTTTCAGTATAACTTGGTATGAAAATTATATTTTAGCCTGACTTTTGCTATTAGATGAAATACTAGTTGCATATTGAAGTGATAGCTTAATTCGACGAAGATGAAGCGATGGTTCTCCAGCTTCCGCATATAGAATTTCTACAGGTTAGGTGCGAAAAGCACCTGAAGCTAAACGTTTACCCTGGTGATGTATGGTATCTAGCATTCGAAGATATGATTTTCTTGCAGACCTATATACTACAAAACCATAATTTAATTTTGATCGGAAAAGACTTCTGTATAATTTCAGTAATGTGGAAGAATTTGATCCCCAATTTGTACTTGATGAAATCTTTAGTAAATTTAAAGCTTTTGGGCATTTAGTTTTCTAATGTTTAATATGTGGCATAAAAGATAGTTTTTTTTATCAAATATAATTCCTTAAAACTTATCATTATCTACTGGAACTTTAGAACCAGATAAAGTTCAGGGTCATTATGGTGTTTCCGCAATCGACAAAAATGAACACAAAGAGTTTTTGACTTAGAAAACTAAAACCATTTTCTATTGCCCACTTTTGAATTTTATCTAAATTTTGTTAAAGTGGCCTTTCAATTGTTCTCATACTTTTTGATCGATCGCAGATAAGAAAACCGTCTATATATAGAGAACAATCTATGCCTGGTATAAGTGCGCATTATTGTTCATTTTAAGGCCAAAAAGTATAACAGAAAGTATGCTTCCTTGAGGAACACCTTGTTCTTGTTGGTGGTCCTCAGAAAAAGTTGAACCAAGTCTTACTTTAAAGTGCCTATCGTTTAGAAATCCAGAAATGAAAAGAGAAAGTCTGCCTTAAGTCCAGAATCCTTTAGATCGTTTAGGATACCATACTTCCAAGTAGTATCGTAAGCCTTTTCAAGATCAAAGAAAATTGATACCAGGTGTTGTTTATTTACAAAGGCTTCTCTAATAAAAGTTTCAAGTCGTACACGATGATCGTTTTTACTTCGGTGTTTACGAAGACCTGATTGAAAATTAGTGATAATTACATTATTTTCTAGATACCAAACTAACCGATTATTTATCATTCTCTCGAATGTTTTGCAGAGGCAGCTTGTTAGTGAAATTGGACGATAGTATGAAGGGTCAGTTGAATCTTTTACAGGTTTAGGGATAGGAATAACCAACTGATATCAAAATTTTATCATCTTATATTGTGTTTTATTAGTTCGGTAGGTAACATTTAGGTTAGCTATCCGAGTTCATTTCAGTTTTTGAAATTATGTACAGAGTCCTAATATCTCAAACAAGAAATAGTAGGTAACTATGTCAAAACTTAGGGTGCTTAAAAGATGTTTTCATAGTTTGGCTCTGTGATTCAGTTTTGTGCCTCACGCGCATAGCTCCAAAAGTATTTCAACTAGATTTATGACTCTTTACAGGAATATTGATCAGCATGTGAAATTGCTCACCTTGTGTTTCGCTTTTGGATAAATTTTGTTTTGAGCTATTGCCCTTGACTTAGTAAAACATTGCAATTTTCAATTTGGGTCGTGCATAGCTCAAAAAGTTTTTGAAAAAGAGTCATGAAATCTTTTAGGAATGTTGATCATCATAGGTTGTTGTGCACCTGGGGGTTTGCTTGTTGATTTCTTTAATATTTGTAGAGTTACAGCCCTTGACTTAGTAAAATAAAATAGAAACCGTTTCAAAATGTTGTGTTATGTGTATCTTGAGTTCATGAGCCTTTTTTGCTGGACATTAATTAAATTGAAGAAACAAATATTAAAACATTTTCCAAATGAAAAACAAATCAGCAGTTTACATTGTTTTGAAGAGAAAGGAGTGTTGTAGAGAGTCGGTAAATGAGGGGGGGGGGGGTGAGTGACCAATGAACGCACCGAACACCAATCTCAGTGTCATTTTAAAAAAACACTGTGACTCTAAGTACATATATAAACCTTATATAAGTACTTTTATAAAGCCGGGAATAAAATTATTTTTATGAGGCATTAGCTTCTTGATGAATAGAGAAAATATAGTTGATGTTTATTCATCGTTCAAATGAACGGTTTTAGGGTTTTAGAGAATAATAAAAAAATATATTTTCATAAATTTGTACAATATGTTAATTGCTGATAGGACTTACGCGAGTATAAAACTGGAACGAGGCCAAAATTGCCCGAGGCGCAAGAGAAATCTGACCGTTTGCTGTCTCTAAACAGGGAAGTTATGGTGTTCTGTTTCTTCCACCAGATAACCATAGAACTAACTATATGTACTTAATTATGAGGTTAACAAGTTACTTAACTAGTTAACATCTTAATTAACTAGTTAGTTATGTGGTTAACTAGTTGCATAACTAGTTAATGTTTTCAATAAATAAAAGATCATAACGGGAAATAAATGCATGTAAGTACCTACAACTGTCATCCTTTTATTATTTTACCAGCTTAATATTAAGTGATTAACTAGTTACGTATTTCTATTTATTAACACAATATCTTAGCACGTGACTTTTTCATGATCTGCGTCAATGACCAGCGTAGAATGTTTATTGGTAGAAAGAAAAACACATTATCATTTAGTATTGTTTGGCAATATTAACCTGAGATATCTAAATATTCAATAACGTTTTGTCGGTAATTATCGGATACTTTTGTTAATCTTATGTAAATTTAAGTATCACGCTTATTAGTTTTCGCATCGCGCCCGCCGTTTTATTTCTAAAATCTCGCCCCGCGTCCCAGCTAATAAGCGTGTTTTTGCGCTGCGCCCCGCCATTTTAACTTGTTAATTCTCGAATTTTCGCTTTGCCGGGTCGCGGGGCGAAAACACAAATGGCACAAATCAGCCACCATAAAAAGTAGTAAAATGATTTCAAATTTATTATTATTCAGATCAGTAGCCCGGCATCTACACCAATACACTACACCTCACTGCCGTGTGAAGTTAACAAATATATCGATATATTCGTTAGATATTAGTGTTTATCTAAACTTAATGAATTTCCTTGTCATTATTGTTGGCCATTATTGTTGCACAATAATCCTCCAATTATTGATCCATAAATACATATACATCGATGATTTTTTATTTTTATTTTTTTTTCATTTAACAGATTTGTCAAAGACTGAATTTCAACGGATATTTTCACGATCATTTTTTTTTTTGCAATCATAGAGAAAAAGATGCATTCAATTATTAAAAATCTGTAAACAAAGTGATTCCTCGGAAGCATTTATCACAAAGCCATCTTAATATACATGTATATATACATGTATATATAAACAAAACAATAAACCTTAGCAATAAGTTAAACAATTCGATTGCACAAATAAGAGTAAATATGGAGGAATAAGAACAATAATAACAAAACAAAAACAACAAAAATAAATGAATTAAAATAGTGTCCTACCTTCAAGTTTTACCTTAACCTGCGTCCCGATTGCTTATCGATTTCTACGGCCTTTTTCTCCCCAATCAGATCGCTTTTCGTGGAATTCTAAAAGAAACCAATAATGTGGTTAAACTTCAATTCAAACAACATTTTGCAAATATAAAGCAGTTTAAGGATGTATTCTGTTAACGTTGAACGCTACAAATTTGGGCTTTTTGCACGGTTGGATAATTTTTCGCGGAATTCTAAATTTAGAAATTAAAGTGAAAATTGATTCTGGTATACAGTTGTCCTTGCGTATGCGTCTGTTTATCTTTCTTTTTTATTTTACTGTAAGAAGGGTTCGGAGGGGGTGTTTTTTGTTTCTTTTCGTTATTTCTTTTGTTTATCTTGTTTTGTTTGTTTTGATCTTGTAGGCTTTTTAAAGTAAAGTCGTCTGCTAATGCGATTAGTGTACAAGTTAGAGTAAGTACAGCAAGACTAAATTAGATGGTTATTGACATTTACGGCTTACTAAATCTCGTGAAATTTGATAATCCTTTCTGTGAAATGAACAGACTTGGGTTTAATAATAATCTAATAGCTATGTTTCTATATAAAGTAACAAATTTTAGGGTATTTCAATGCCATTATGGCAAGATCTAGGTCATTATGCAATTTAGGCCGCTTTGCTACTAGGCATTTTTTCTATAATGGGCGAGTGAATGAGCGAACGTGCAAAATTACGTAATGAATCTCAGTGACTTTCAAGATGGCTGCTGAACTGGTTGCATGAACTGTAGTCACTTGCACACATTCAAAATGTTTTAAAATTTAAAAAAATGACACAATAAATCGCAATCAGCAAAGCTTAAAATTGAAGATTTTAAACTAAAGACATAACATGACCCTTAAAAATTCTAAAAAAAAAATCAGATTGCCAGTAGATTAAAATCGGATCGGTAGCATTTAGATCTAAACATCATTGAAAGCATAATAGTTCATAAAAAACTGGCAGACATATATTTGTGGACATTGACAACAGTCTGTTTCTTAGAAATGGCGACAACCAAGATAAGCAGCGATGTCTTAACGCCGTATTTCGGAGGTATGCATTAAAGACGTTAATACTTGGTGGCTGCTCGCAATTATACGATAATGACCCTCAAGTTCATAATGTACTTCGAACCTGCGGCCCTCAGGCCATTATGCACATCTTCGCGCCATTATCACATAATGGCGAGCAGCAACCAAGTATAAACCTCTAAGTAATAAGGTATTCAAAACATTTAAAATGTTAAGAGCTGTTCAAAAAGGGAAATATTTCAAAAGTAACACACAAAAAAGTAATCAAAGTGATATGTTGACTTTCATTCACTATAACTTTACTATTTGCCAAAACGTAAAAGGAGATAAGTATGGATCAGTCGTGTGTCAGTTAAATAAATAATTTTTTGGAAACCGTAGCTGACATCAAAAATAAAATGCGTTTGGAAATAAAATATTTGCATTTTTAATGTGTGTAAACTTAGTTCATGACCGTGCGATTTGCACGCAGATGGTGTTTTTTTTCAAAACAAGAATTTATTCATGCATAATATACAACGTAAGCTAAACTCTTTCAACTTTTTAATATGTTATTTAAACAATATGATTTCCCTCCTCGCTGGACAGGGACTCCGCTGAGGTTTTTTTACCAGACGAGACTGGAATAAATTGTTTTCGAGAATAATGCTCAGTTTGATGTAGGTCTAGAACAGTAACTTGTGTGCAAAATTTTAGATCATTCGCTCTCGCGGTTTATCCAGGATAATTATTCAAATTGTGAACAATGACCCAAAATTGAAAAGCGTTACCCAAATCATGTTTACAAAAGAACAAAAATACTCTTTTCAATTCATTTCTGGGTATATTTCTTAATTATATTTTGCATTTCTTTCTGTGTTACGTGTCCAAGCTGATCTGTGTAAAGAATTACTAAAGTAAATTTTATGCTTTTGAGCTTTTGAACCTCAGTGGAGTTCCTTTTAGATTCTCGTTGAATGCTGTAATATATAACAAAAAGCACACGAGGGAGTTCCGGATAGTAACACGTTAGGGAAATAAACCTTTAGTATGGCGTTATGATTTGAATTCTTTTTAAACAATAGTTTTTTTGCTGACTGCATTGAGCGCTTTATGAAAGGATTTTTTTAGAAAAAATCATAAGATTAAGGTTGAGGGTTCGTTGTGCGGCGTGGATGGCGGTCCACAGACTCGAACTTGGAGCCTGCCGAGCCACATTCTTTGATTCATAGTCTTAAATGTCCAGTTTGCTGGGATTACTTTGTTAAACCACATACACTTTTATGTGGCCATACATTTTGTCTAAGGTATGTCATTTTATTTTCATTTTTCTTCAATTAAATTTTACTTTTCACTTTTTGTAAAACCTTAATTACAACTTTGATTTTCTTAAAAGGACATGTCCGTCTTTTAATCTGGTCAAAATCATTTATCACTTTTAAGTATTAAAGATAACTAGTATTTTGGCTAAACAAAGACTAATGAAGGTAACAATTCCTCCGGTTTATCTTGGTCGAAAGTGTTCTCATGGGTAGACTGTCGCCAACATTTTAAAACAAATAATGCAAGTATCATATAAATCTAATTCAACTACATTGTATTCTTCACGAAATCGAAATAGAAAGTAGGGTGCATTTCATTTTAAATTTCACTGAAACGTATCATATATTGCTCGTTAAATTATAGCGTCACAAAACCTTGAACACAGGTGTAACGAGAAAATCTATTTATAGTGAGTTCATAAGCACTTAATGGCAAAAAAGATTTTTGATCGACTTCTCTTTGTGACCGACTACCCGCCGTGATTTTTATAAAATTTTATCCGTTACACAGACACTTATATTTAAAATACTGTGATATATATTTTTTTTAAAAGATGTTTTGTTGGTAGATTAATAATGAAGTGGTAAGTGTGTGTGTGTGTGTGTGCGTGCGTGCGGGCATGAGTGCGTGCATGTGTATCGGTGCATGTGTGTGTGTGCGTGTGCGTGTGTGTTATGGATAAATTTTTATGAACATCTCCCTTCTGACAACCACCTGATGTATCTTTTGAATAGAAGCGGCGCCGAAAAAGTGGTCACTTTTTAAAACAACATGTCTCAAACAAAAACAAGTGTTTGGGCATAAATAAGACATTTTTCCACCATTTTAGACAACAAAAAGCGAGAGGAGGAGTAAAAAAGGGCGTTAAAAGGCGTGTATATCAGGTTATAGGTTAATATTGTTTAGATATGTATGGGAACATTAAAAGGGCGTGGTTATAAGGGGGATATGACAATGAATCTCTGTATGAAAGTTAGTTTATCTGTAGAAACAAAAGTGATGTGCCTTTGTGATTCGTTGGTAGCTTATGATTGATCTATGAAAGAAATTTGTAATTAGAACTTGTTAAGCAATTAATTAATTTTGTGAAGTTTGAGGGTGAAGGCCTATGGACTGTCGAGTTATTGGTGAGGAACCGTTTTGTTGTTAAATGTCAATGAACAATAGGATTAATTTACTTATCATGATCAAACTTCATTCCAAGCTTCTAGGCACAGGGTTCTTAAGTAATTGATCGGAAACGGTTTGGTCTACGAACAAACCAACTATCCACAAAACCGAAGTGCGAGGCAATATACCCCTGCTTCTCCGAATACATAATAAGATGAGACAGTCTATACAATCTAAAGATATAACAGTAATATTTCTTACTTGACAATGATATGTGATTATTTACAGATGGAAGCCATCGGTTTACCATACAGTGACATGAAGCAAATTTTTTCTGATTTTCTTTTGAAATGATATTTATTTGAATTTATTGTAAGGCGGATCATTTCATTAATGATAATTGATAAAACTGTTTCTATACTCGGTCAGTCGAAACTGTAGAACATCTTGCGTAAGATTAAAATTGCAAAATTTAAAAAAGAGAAATAAAAAAGAATTAAAAAAATTCAGAAGCAAGTACAATGATAATAATAATGACTCCAGGGGTAAACAAGATTGTGAAATTCTGCACTTTTCCCGCTCGTCTGTCCAGAAAGAAACTCTTGAAAATCATCATCTTTTGAATTCCAATTATCACATTTGACGTTATAACATGGCTTTATTGGCTAAAGTGTCAATCTGAAGTACTTCAATTTGTACAATTACGTTAGCGTTAGTACAATGTGACAAGACGTTAACTGTGCACAGAATCTGTCATTTTCACAGTGCTATGAGAAGTCAGAGTTCTTCCTCTTAACTCATACTATATCCTTACAATAAACAACAAACAATATAATACTATTTGAAAATGTATTATATGTATGGAGCACTTGGACGATCAGTGTGTAATGTGTAATACATTCATATTTCAATCATTACATGAAACAATACATATTTACTATAATAAATGCATCAAAACATATATATTCATTTTAACACATTCATAGACAATAATCTTAAATTCAGATAATAAAATCATCTTACAAAATATATTTCATCTAGATGGTTAACACTGAAACCTTTATTCAAAACACATTTCTTGCCAATTTTTAATTTTTTAAGCAGATATTGCCTAGTCGATCGTCCAAAGCTGAATGACCAATACTACACATTACTTTAGCACGAAAACTTCGTGCACAAAACTATGCAATAGGATACTTTATTCGACCAATGGAAAATAATTTTCCTCTAATTCACTTTCGCTCAACCGTGGAAAATTATATTTCTCTTAACTATAATGTTAACCTTCTGAAGATTAAAGAGGAATCGGTCTCTTGACGTCATTTGATCATTTTATAAAAATACTGCTAAAATGAATTAGAACATCACTCGATCATAAAATATGATAAACAATATCAACAAGGAAACGTGGCGCTCAATGAATGCAACACCTACACGATCCAGCAACAAGAACCAGCGGCAAGGACCTCAGAAGGACCCAAAACAAAAATAGGTCAGATGCATTGCTTCTATTCTGGAGTGCAGAATAAAGATTGAGAAGAAAAAAATCGGTGAATATGAAAAACAGACATATGAATAGATTGGTTCAGAAAAAGGAGTGGCGATCACGGAGTGCAACCACAGTCTGAGTGTCTAGTCACACAAGAGCATCGCACAAAAAAAAGGGGGGGGGGGCAAAATAT